AGGGAGGCAAAAAAAAACAACCAAAAAACCCCCACCCAGTTAAGGAGAAGAGGATTTCATGGAGAAATATGCATCAGAAATTAGAAATGCAATATCAATGTGGTGTATTTCTCCTTGAGGTATACAAATTATAATGTATGAAAGGTGTGAAGGAACTGGGATCATCAAGTGAACTAAAACTAAGAGAGAAACACTGTGAATAATTATTGGAGAGAGAATGAAAGGAGAAACTGATTTAACTACCTATTGCTTACCAGGATTTTAGATTAATAGAATGCATTCTTAACTGCCACTCAGGGCACTTAGAGAACAGCTCTGCTCACATACCCAGAACAATCCTCCTGTCTCTGCAGCAGCAAATGTCTCACTACCATGGGCCCAGCCTGGCACTATTTATGTTACAGGTGGCACCAGTTAAGAGACAAAATTAGCCCATCTCCCAGAGTTTATGTCCCAAGAATCCTCTGATGGGGAGGTAAATTAGCTTGCCCCATGATCCAGTGTAGGGCTGGGTGGGGATGCTGCAGATGTCCCAGGAGCCCTCCTGTGAGTTTGTGCCACCCCATGCAGGTGGGATGGGGATTTTCCAGAGCTGGGCTGCTGGGGGAGGATGTCCCATGCTTTGATGTTGTGCTAATAAGGAAGGGGTTGAGCCCTAAGAGAACTCTGCATTCAGACCTTAGCAACTGCACGTACCTGTGCTGCTGGTTTGGCAGCAATTTCCATCCTGCTGACACAACGGGCACTGGGAGAGCTGCTTGCAAAGAAATTAACTACTGTAATTTCGAGCAGAGCTGTTGCTGTTAAAAGGACAAAGGCAGGTTAATGACAAACAGAGGGAAATCTTCCCTAAGAAAATCTGATAAGTCAGTACCTGATTTGATAGATCCAACCTGAGAGGATGGAAGCAGTTTAACACAATGCAGCTGGCTCCTTGCATGGGACTTCTGGTGTGGAGAGCAAGCACAACAGTCACAGCTGCTGGGAAAATCAATGGCAAAAGCTTATGCCTAATTGATACTAAAAGATGATGGGCAAAATCTTTCTGTGATTTAAACAGACATCTGTGACACATATCATATATAATGAACTTAAAATGTGGAGGTCCAGCACATTCATACCTACAGCTCCAGAAAGTAACTCTCCTGCTTATTGCTGGGCAGCAAAGCACCAGGTCAATTTACCCTGATTTTTCTACATAACTACCTGCTATAAAAGCTATATATTAGCATTTATTAATAATGCTATAATATTAACATATTAGCATATATTATAAATGCTATATATATACAAAATGAGATTAGGCCAGCTCCAGCTGTGTCACATATTGAAAAGAACAAAGATTAAGAATATTGCTAGAAATGTTTAGCACATAAGAGACTACAGCTGCAGAGCAGTGTTTGGTGTGTCATCCTGCCTGGGCATGGACTTACTGTTTTACTAACACCAAGCTCCTAAAGATCAGGGCTGATGACAGACTGCACACAGATGGAGTTTCCAGACCTTAAGATAACTCTCTACACCTCCTCCCCAGCAATCACATCTGATCTGCAGCAGCTGTCTCATGCATTCAAGCTCAGTTTTCACCCAACCACTGTAGAGGTGGTTACCTTTACAGTTCAAAATCTTGACTTCGACACATCTGAGCCGAGGGGAAGGCTGCTCTGCACTGATAATTAACAGCAGTATATTATGTGCCAACTGCTTAGGGCTCAACAGGAAAAAACGCCAGATACTAATGAACATGGAGAACATCTATAAAAACATTAACAAGCTTTTGGTTTTTCCTCTTTCCTTGGCTTTTACTTTGATATACTTCAGCTATTTTTAAAAAAACCTTTTTGTAGTATTTTCTATTTAATAAGACAGAACACTTTCTTTTGCTGTAGTTGTATTTGTCCTATTTGTAGTCTCTCCACACCACTGAAACCCTCCCAGTGTAAGGGGGGAGCTTTGCCTTTTGGTCTTCCAGTATTGGGCTTTATCATTAAATTTAGAAAAATAAAATGCCTAATGGGGCTTTTGGAAAATTGTCAAAAGGTACTTTTTCTTTGAATTCAAAGCACAAACTCTACATGAATTCCACCCTTGTTGGAAGATCAGGGTGTGGGTGAAAGCTAAACAAGCCTTGATCCATCTGATTCTGAAGAACACCTGAGGAACTTTTCCTCCCATTCCTTGGGATGGACACCTGTCAGGGCTTTGTGTCCCACCCTGAGACCTGGGCATTGCACACATCCACAGGGCTTTGCTGAGAGCAATCAGCTGCTTGCTGGGCTGCTGCTCCCCATTTTTACTCAGAATTGCTTCAGCACCTGGGTTTTGCTGTCTTGCTCAGGTATTTATGGAAGTCAGAAAAATCTAACCACCTCCCTTTGGGAGTTTGTAGAGACACAAGTGGAGCCTCTTAAAGTGTTGCTTGGAAAGGATGAGTGACATTTTAAGCATTCCTAATGCAGCATTCATTGATCATCCTTCTAAATATTACTGATGCATGAAAGAGAGGGATTCAGTTCAGCTTTGGGTCCTCAAATTAAAAATGTATATATGCCTTGTGGTCTGCTGCACTGGAGGTGCCTGTACCTGGAGGCTTTTAGAGATGATTATAATTGATCCTGTGCTGAAGTGGAAGAAAACAGTTTTGACTTACAGGGTCAATGGAAATGATAATCTCTGAGGGCTACATTTGGATGAGTTCTCTGAGAAGCAGGTGACAACCCATGATGCTTTTGCTTTTGGGACATTCTATCTTTTCTTAGAAGCTATTAATAGTATGTCTAGTAATATTAATAGTAAACACGGTCTAGTGCTTACTTTCCTGCAGAAACCTTTGATTTATCTTCACAACTGTGCACTCCTTACCACTGTTCTTATTCCAGTGGTTCCTTGTGGGCAAATAACAGCAGAGCAGCAGAGCAGATGATACAGCTGCTGCACAACAGGTGGTTTTCCTTCCCCATGACCTTTGCTGCCAAAGAGTTTAGCAACAAGAAATCTGTGAATCCACAGCCTCAGTCTCAAGCTGATGTCCACACCAACAAGTCTCCTGTTTTCTGTGAGAACTTCTGCCTGCAGTCCTGTAGGAAGGCTCAGGGATGCTCTTCTACTATTTCCAACTCTTAATGTCAGGCTGCAAACAGCAGCTGAAACTAAGTCTACACTTCCTAGTAGCAAAATGTGAAATTTAGAAAACACAGTTTATCTGCTGACTATGTACTTTAACCTGGCAGCAGTTAAGAAATAGGTGGCATTAAAAATGTTTATTGGTGAAAGGTTCCATACAGTATTTTCTGCATAACCCATGGACAAACACCTTGTCTACAGCAAAGTGTGGGCTACAGGCAGTCTGGCTGGCAGTGACCTGAGCTCTGCAAGGATTCACAGCCCACAGCCACTGCCTCTGTGCTGCCAGTTTCCTGGCACAGAGCTGCAAATTGCTCAAACAGTCCTGCACCAATACAGCTGTGGAGCTTGTGCCCAGCTGGCTGCCTCACTCCTGCTCCATGGCTGCCTGGCACACCTTTGTGTTGGAGTGCTGAGCAATTTCCTCCACATGGTGCTCTCTGTGATTTTGCATCTCTGGCAATTCTTGTCCTCACCTACTCTTGTGCAATTGAGAGAGATAACAGCTACCAGAGCTGAAGACTCAATTTCTTAGGGCTATTCAAATCTGGTTTTAGCCAGGCTGCTCTTGTGACTAGCAGTTGATGACATCAGGATAAAGAAAATTTGTGTACAGCCCTCTCCCTCAGGAAGACAAGTAGGTTATCCTATCACATCCACCTCCTTCTCAAAATCTAGAAGATATTACAAGGAACTCAGAATAATTTAGCTTCTTGTCAGCTTCTTTAAGCAGCAATCATTGTAGTTGATGGGAATTGAGACTATATTAAGGCTCATAGAGATAAAGCATTTTATTCTGATTTATCTGAGAATTTGTTTGCCACAGAGTAGGAGCTGCAGGCAGAAGTCAGTGTTTTGAGGCTGAATGCAGATGGTGGGCAGCTCACTGTGCAGTCACTGAAAAGATTTACTGGCACTTTTCTCCAAAGTCAGGGAACAGACCTGAATAGATTTAGGTGTGAATTCTGATTTCACATTACTGTTACCTTGAACACTTGCACCTGAATTACTTTATTGGGATGAGTTGCTCTAGTCTACTTTTACCTATGGCCACGTTGCCATGGCAAAGTCACTCCTTGTGTGTATGTTTTAAATACATAACCTACAAAGCACTTTGAGTTCCTTTGAAATGCTAGGCATCTATTTTCCAAGTGATTTTCTTGTTTTAAATACAACCTGTAAAACAAATGGAGAGCATGCTGCCATCAGGACAGTTTGTATTTCCACATCACTAAAAACCTATGTTCGTGTCTTGCACATTACACATGTGAGTATTCTTTCAGCACAAGCCTTTGTAGGATCAGGCATCTACATAATACATGTTTGGTTTCATGCTGGCATTATGATGTGACACAACACCTTGTTTTTATGGCAAGTATAGAAGATTTTTTATAGAAGATTAAACTATAGCAGCTCTGGGTCAAAAGCAACAGTGCAGATTTTTTCCTTCATAGTATCACTTCTTTAAATAAGCTATACTAGCATAATTTATGTATTTATTTTCATATGAACAAAAATTTTGATTAGCAAACATTTCTGATTTTTTCTGTCTGAATAAATTTTTTAAAAAAAGTTAAATTACATGGGTTACGCTTTGAACATGCACATTCATCCACTCAAAGTATTAGCCAGAGAGCTCTTTTGTAGTTATTTTTCCAAATAATTATTAAAAACCAAGTTACGTATTGCTTACCTCAAGCCCTGTAGTTTTTTGGTTTTTTTTTGCTTATTTATAAGGTACTCCGGAAGAACCTTTTCAGTCTAAGAAGAAAGATTCTGGCAGTCAGCAGAACACAGAAACAGGGGTAGGCTGATTGTTGCAAGTTACAGAACTATTCAGCAGTACAGACCCGTGCCATTTTCTTCTCTTGTTCCAGGGATTTGGATTACCAGAGGATAACTGTTGCAGCACATGTCACAGCTGAGATGGCCACCACACACAGAGTGTCATCATGCAAGTTCAGAAGGCTCCAACCCCCACAGAGCAATACCTTAGCACTCCAGAAGGCTTCAAGTGTCTGTCTGCCCCCGTTCTTCAGCCCAGCCTTTTGTACCCTGATGTTGTTGCCCTGCCCCTGTTTGTCCCCTGCTCCCTTTGGTGGCTGCTCGGTGTCCCTGGGCCCTCCATGGCTCACTGCTGGCAGTGCTGCTCACAGCTGCACCTTGGGGATGGGGCTGGGCCACACACTGAGCACCTACAGTAGCTGTGCTCAGCACCTGGACAGAGAGAAAGGCTCTGGAAGAAGTCACTGCAATTGCTGTTTAGCTTTATAAAGCAACCCACACTGGAGATGAGGACAGGACCCAGAGAAGTGCAGCTTCTATTCCGGATGCTGTTTGCTTCCAAGGGCAAACAGCATTGGTAGCCCTACCTATTTCTCTGTCCCTGATAATAGGGACATGAGTTCCATGAGTTCTTTGTGAGTACCAAGGTGCTTTACAAATCCAACATCATAAACTAACAAAGCACAGGAGCAGCAGTGAACTTTCCTGAGCTCACTGTTTAGGATGTTTAGAACTGCTGATGTTGGGTGTACCATGAGGACACAAAGAGCACACAGAGCACTCTCTCCACATCTGCATCACTTCTAGCAGGTTGCAGGGAGGAACATGGGAATAAAACACATTTTAGAAACCAGTCAAGACAAAATCACACTACTTTGAGAAGGACATGGACAGAGAAATTGAAGGAGGAATACTGGCTAGTACCAAGTTCTGCTGGTTCTGGAGATGTACTAGGATACAAATCTGTAGAGGCAGCCTGTAGGCAGCAGGACTGGAAGTCTCTGGGGCATGGGACACATAAATGTGCAAAAGGATGACATTAAACCCAAGGCCTTTAAAGTGTCTCCAAAATTGGTTTTAAGTACAGCTTTTCTTAAGTTCCTTTTCGTAATTATTTTCCATATCTAAAAGTGCACTTACTGTCATTATTTGTGCACTACAGGAAAGGACAGAACATTACCTATAAATAGCTTAGAAAAGATAGGGTGTTTTTGCATATAAGAATGTTTTATTTTCCTGTGTGAATTTAATGGGATAGATGCCAATGCTTTTATGAATTGTGAATGCAGCAGTCTTCTTTCCAAATGAAGATGTTGGAAGTGTGCCACTGGAACAAGGTGCTCATATTACATACTGCCAGCAAATTTCTGTTGCTTTAATGAAACCTAAATTACGAAAGCACTTTTCTTCTGAAAAACATTACTCCTGCCTATAATGACACTGCATTGCATATTCTCCTCTAGAATAAAAGAGGAAAAAATAATTAGGGTAGAAAGCAATGTGAATCACAGTTCCAACAGGGAAATTCATGTGCTACACCCTTGATGTAAACTGCTGTTTGTATACCACCTAACTTCCTCCTTCTATAAAACACAATCCAGCTCTATGACTTATCAGGCATTTGTTACTATTCTTATGCTTGGGGTTTCTCCCCCCCCCCTCCCCCAACAATGGTTCTCTTTTTAGCTACCTTAAACAAAGTAATTATTTAGAATAGTTTAATCACTGCCTTTTAAATGGAAATCTTGGTTGAGGAAAAGTTCCCTATTTAGGAGCAGAATTTTGCACTTATATACAATTCAATTTCTGTTCAATAAGAAATGTAATGACATTATGTAGAAGCATTATGTAAAGTTTGGAGTTTTTTTCACTGAATGGTTTTAAATCTCAGGAACAGTTTTAGAAGAAGGGAAAGTAAGTTTATGACCTTTGACAAATCTGGAGGTCAAATATCCCATGTGAAAAAGGTCCAAAGAAATGTATTGAGGCTGCACTGCTTCACCTGCACAGGTTACAGAGCAGCCAGTGGTGCCACAGCTGCTCTCAGCCTGTTAACAGCCAATTGCAACATAACTAACAAATCCTATTTAAACATATGCATGTATTGCAATGTGCTGCATTTCACATTTTGCACTCACAAGCAATTGTTTTTTTTTCCTGCTAACATGTAGAAGGATTTTACAAGAAGATACCAAATATACTTTGTTTCAGATCATTTTAGTTACATCAGCAATCCTTTCTATTATTTCCAAATCTGAGCCACATCTCACAGCTCAGAGGTGGTATTGCAGGTTTTGTAGGAGCATCCCAGACAAAAGGTACAAGCTCTCTTGAATAACAGGACTCCCTCCATTGTGTTTCTTTGCAGTAATTCAGTATATCATGTGAATAATGCTACTTCACACCAAGGGCTCACTGGTAAGGATATGCTCTACCTTCCAATTTGCATGCACATTTATTTTACACTACCTTAGAGTTAAAAGAACTCAACAACATAGTAAAGGTAAGTGCACAGAATAATAAATACTACTGAAACCATATTAACTCAGAAAAACATCAAAAAGGGAGAGAACAAAAAGCAGTGAAATTAGGTTAAAAAAAAAAGTTGTAGAATCTCTATGGGGTTGTTTTTGTTGTCTTTTTTCTTTCTTTTCTTTTTTAAAAAAAAAAGCCTCAAGCACACAGTCACACTGTAACCCACCTGGTTATATTTTACAAATGGGATGCCAAGTCCAGACAGCTTTAATGTTAGGCAGAACTCTGCACCTGTGAAAATTAATGGTAACACTCTATGACATTAACTAGAATGAAATCAGGCCATGTGAGTACCTTCTGTTTTTTCTATAATGAATAATATTACTGCATTCTGTTTTCTACTCACACTTCTGTGAGTTGACAGTACACTTGCATAATTAAGATATAAAGCCAGCAAATGTTTTAATTCAAATATTATTATAAACTAGAAAGAAGTCAGATAAAACCAGAGATTTTTTTATTGCACAAAATAAATTATATAGAAACAATGCAACAAAACAACTCGTATTGTAGGCTGCACAACAGATGTTACAACATGAATATATTTATTGCTTTGAGAAAGGAGCAATTCAGTGCTAGTAAGCAGATTAGTTATACTTCTTGCTCATCTAGATTTTTCATAAAATTAATCCAACTGGGCTAGAGGCATCTTGCAGCATACAGGTCAGGCCAAATTGTCATTTGTTATCAACCATTGTAAAGGTGCTGTAAACCTTCTTGACATTAGCATGAAACACAATTTAACATCAGCAGTACTGAGCCATACAGGTAGTTCACTGTTAGAAATATCATTACATATCTGACACATTTATACACAAGTTCCAGAGGCCCATTCACAGGCTTTGCATGAGCTGTTGTTTCAAAATCAATCTCGCTTACAAATGTTGATGTGGATTTGAACAGGCTTCACTCTACATCAAGAGGCATGACCACGAGGTTTTGCCAAAAAACCCCAAGTGCCAGCACTTCCCATCCCTACGTGGAAAATTGATCACCAGCGCTGACTCAGTTACAAATGTCTCACTTCTTCTAGGGCCACACTCAAATTCAAGACTAAAAAACTCCTCACATTCCTTTGGTAGAACTGGGTGAAATTTACAGTGCTTTTTAAAAGTACTTAAGAAAGAAAACAAACCATATTTGGTTCTTCAAAAGATACAAGCCTGCAGTACTGGTATTGCACTCAGATCAAATGGATTTTAAACTGCTGCTTTGTGGACCCTGAGATGTTGACCCTAATGAATTACTACAGAAGTTAGCTCTTAACAAAAATTATAAAAATGGACAATGTTCATGTAATAAAACATATCAAATCCTGATCAACTGCAGATCTTTGCAAAGCATGAACATAAATGAGAGAATGCCATTTCAAGTGCTCATAATCTGAGTCAAATTCTCCCCCAGTCTGTCAAGGACACAAGTATTTACTCAGCTGAGTTCCTACCAATGAATTCTACTGCTAGTGTACACACTCATTATTGCAAAACTTACTTATGAGAAGGTTAATATAATAAGAGTAAATTTAAACAATATTAGTCACCCATGAAAGGAAATTAAGTGAGGAAGTGGGAAGCCTGGCTCATTTCAAGTCTCAGCTACAAGGATAATTATAGAAAGTCACTCCAGTGAGGTCAAGCTGAAGAACTTAACTGAGCATCAGACCCACGAAGTAGATCCCTGTAGAATCCCACTGAAATAAGTAAAGAGATTTTGGATTGTACACTAATACTTACACAAACAAATATGGTTGCCACTCTTTACTATACTTTAATAAAATTCTTTACTGTATTTTTTCTTCCCTGAATCTGTGTTAATGCATTATGATGAATGAAAATACAGTTGAAAGTGAGGTTTCAAACAGCTGAAAAAGATTACAAGTGAATCATTCTGAATTTTAAAAATAGTATTAGCACAAATTCTCAGAATTTTTAGCGATGCATTCCTATTCCATGCATGTACCCAGCAGTAGTTTGCTTTGAAGGAAGGTAAGTATTAAACTTGATTAATCTTGTACACTTTTTCATCCAGGGGACTGTTAATTAAATACTGTATGTAAAATTCTGTCATCTTATAAAAATGTAATATATTAAGATTCAACTAAACAACCAGACATACCCTGAAATGTCCATTGAAACACATGCATCACAGAAAATGGTTAGGATTTTTATACTCATTATGAAGTAGAAAAGTTATAAGGCAGGATGAAGCTAATATCAAAGATGAAAAACAGCACCAACAAGCCTGTGTTTTGCAATTGCTTTCTGATTGGACACAATATGTTATCATAGTCAGATACAATTGATTAATGTGAGAAATGCATTTAGCCCAGCTGTACTAACTATACAGCTTCACACAGAATAAACATTCCATAAATCAACAGAAATTGCATTTGAGCACAAAAAATAAAAAATATTTAAGTGATTCTCTAAGCAGCATTTTGTTTTCTTTTTTTCCAAAACATTAACATAGATAGATATTGGACTGATTAAATATCTACAAGTGCTTTTCCTTTACAAAAATACATATATTCATAAGAGTAGGATAGACTGTCATTAACAATGACCTGTGTTTTTTTCACTTCAATTTGAATGATTTATAAGCTAAATTTTACAACCACAAAAAGGTTTATTTGTAATAGGATGTTATCACTTTTGACAAAAAGCTTAAAACATTTTATATTTTAAAACAAATTAGCAACTTAAGATCACAATATGTTCTATGAGCTCCTAAGTACTGTGAGGGCTGCTTTATTAAAAACTGGTAACTACTGATCAAATGCAAGGAAGCATTAGAACATTATTACTGCTCACCATAGGCTCCTTTCTTTTAACTTGGATCACAGCTTATATAAGGACACTTAGGCCCCCACCCCCAAAAAATCCATTGAGAGTAACTCTATATCATCTATTCAGTAGCCTGGAACACCCAACAATTCAGGCTTTGCATTAATTAAAAAAAAATGCAAAATATTTTCCTTTCAATAGTTAAGTCTGCAGTAAGGGAAAAAATGATGCATTGCTTCATGTTTGTGCTAAGAAG